GTTATGGCTGTCCATGGATGAATGCGCACAACGACGAAAAAAAGAAAAAAACACCACTTACAGACATATTGATAGAAGCATAAAGAAAGACGTGAATATTGTGCGGAAACCATGCATGACAAAATTATATGAATAACCATGATGATGACGAATAGGGAAGAAAAGTAAATGAAAGTCCAAGAATGTAAACAATTACAAATCAAAAAAAGAAAGATTTGCACTTAAAATCATGAATTTTAATCGAGTTTAAAACAATAGTTTTGTCTATTATTATTTCAAGGTCATCAATAGAATGATATTGATATGTATATGATATATTTTTTTGTTAGATTTGATTATGCTTAAAATTAAATTAAACAATAAGTGACGTCCGTTTTTTTTTATTTGAAATACTTTTGGTGATTTGAGGACAAAAAACAAAAAATAGATAAATAAAAATGAAAAAAATATTGAACATCGCCTTATTTGCTATCGAAACATATAGATTTATGTTTTTATTGATAATGTTTTGTCGTCGTTATCGTCGTCGTCGTTGTCATTTTTATTACTGTTTTTAGAGAAAAAAAAAAGGTTCAATCGCGCGCAAGTTCCAATATGTCATACGCAAGAAAAAAAAATAGGAAGAATTCGTTGTGTTGCGAAACAAGAAAAAAAAAGAGAATATGAACAAAAAAAATTAAACCATTTATTGTGTTTGTATATGTGTATGTGTTTTATAAATAAATAACACCATATATAGAATAAAGATCAAGTCGTCGTTTATTGACTTATGAGCGACGCATGAACGTGAACAGGAACGAACATACGAGGAGTAACATAAGAAGCATATGTGGAGCAAGAAGTTCTTCGGCTCCATTTTGTCCATTACGATTTTTATAATCACGATACCATCGACCTTGAATAAATAAGAATAAATTCATAGTTTAGCAATAGACAAAAAAAAATACATTAAGATAACTTACTGATGAAGACAGTTAATGGAATAGCCGTAATGAAAAGACCCCAAACACCGATTGTATTGAGACAACATAAACATCCGGTAAGACCTCCAATGGGTCCAAGAATGGCTGCAAGCATACCAGATCCACCGGGTGCTCGGCCAGCTGGAACTACTGGTCGTAGAACAGGTCGAGCAGCATATCGGGCTGATGGTCGAGCATATGAACCTCGGTAAACACCTCGTGAAGCAGAAACGTTAGGCACATATCCTATAAAGATAAAATTAAAGAAAATTTGTGTCCAATTATTGCAAAAGGGTATAAGATAAATTTTACGCACGTGCTCGCGATCCTGAAAAGCCGCCTGATTGTTGAAACATAACTTAGAGATCGGCAGGCGGTTTCTCTTTTATTTTCTAAAATAAAGAAGGAATTCATATAAACAACAACGTTAAAATAGAGCTCAATGATTATAATGATTGTCAACAACAAACAACAACTGGACTCAAGAAGTACGGAAAAGAAAGAGAATAGAAGAAAAAAGAAAGAAATACAAAAAAAAGCCTTTCTTTTCTACCTTGATGTGCTTCAATGAGGATGTTTTAATTTTGTTGCTGTCTCTTCTTCTCTCTATCGTCGTCCTCTATGTCTTTTTTT